ATGAATATCATGTATTTGAATTAAATGCAAACATTTTTTTTTTATATAATGTGTATAATGCATTTTGTTTACATAATAGTTTCCATATGTCTAATTTCTATAAAATGGTTCGTAAAGAAATTATGTTTTGGGTATATTTGTGTAGCTTCTTTTCTATATTTTAGTGTGTAGTGAATGGTAATATTTTAAATATTTTATATGTTGATCTATTTGAATTAATGCATTAGTTATTTACATAAAATAATTCCAAGATATCCTGCTATTATTAATTAATATAATGTTTCTCACATTTTTGAGAGCAGAAGCAGTTAAAAACAGTCATACAATTAGGAACAGCCTGCATAATCTTCCTTTTATTTTGCAGTGATACAACCATTGAAACTTCCTTTTCTTTGACACACAATCCATTTTATCCATCCACCATTTCCAAATGCTTCATTTCATTACACTCACTTTGCTCCTAATCTGACTTATGGAGACACTTGTGCACATTTCATGTGTGTACTTTTTCCGTAAAGCTCTCTGATGTCTGAAGCTGCTTTGCATGATTCAGGAGCAGAGCCAGGAGGAGACTAGCCTTTTCATTTGACTTCACGAATTAGATTCAGCAAAAGTGAGGAAGCACAGGCCTGAATGATAAAAATGGAAAGCCGTGGAGAGTAGCGCTGTGGGCACAGTGACCTATATTCTGCTTAGCAGAGCAGGGATACAGTATCACACACTACTGTACACACCGGCTGCTCTAATCTCTGACCTTGGATTTGATTCCTCGGACCTATATGTGTCTGATAAGGACCGGAGAACTCTTTGGGTCAAACTCTAACTGAATTTTAGCTGCAAGCAGTGCCTTACTATTTAAATCTAAAGCTACAGCTGTTCCTATGCTATTGATGCAACGGATTAGAAGAAATTATTTTAAATAAGCATGATTAAAGGTATAGTGGAGGATGCTCTTTTTCCTGGTGGATCATCAAAATTAGTGGTCCTTCTAATTGTGCTTTTCCCCCTATTTTACTTATCGGTGGCGAGTTTGAAATAGTGGAAAAATCGCAAATCTTTTGGAAAGTAAGCTTGTATGAGTGATGCAAACAGCAAATTTTAAACAGAGCGTGCACGAGGAGAAATGGGCTCGCGCACACTCTCACACGTGTTTAATAGGTATTCCCTCTCGGGAATGGGTACAGGGTTGTTCAAGTGCTTTTTTTTTTAAAGTTGAGAGGGTGGATCTTTTCAAAAATTTGTGACAAATCCTCCACTATACCTTTAAAGGTCAATAAAACCTCTCTGCCATATTGCACCCTCTTTTTCTTGTAAAGTTCATGATTTTATCTGTTTGAGCCTCGAAACTTGTGTGCACAAATTTGGGAGAGTTTGTTCTATCTCATCATTTGATACACAAAAACTTTGTAACTCCTAAAATCCTAGAGGGATGAACTCTGAAGTCTCTTTAAAGAAAAATGTGGGTCAGTAGACAGCACAGTGCTAACCTTTAAATATTAAGAATAAAATAAAGTTATAAATTCACTTCTCATCCAGTGAATTTTATTGTCTCATATGCAGAAGTGAGCTTCAATGTGGTTTTTTCAGCTCGGCTGAAATCCACTTCACACAATACATCACTTCATCACAAGCACTATGTGTGGGTTATATCTACATTCATCATGCAACTCAGCTTTAAACTAGAGACGAACAGTTTCAGCACTTATGAGGAGACTACCAGGATGCTGTAACCATAGCAACCTTAGAGAAAGGTCTAAAATCGTAAAAAATAAAAAAGCTGGATGAATAACAATTCAATACAGCTTAAAGTTATTTTGCATCAAGAAAGAAAAAAACAAAGCAATTTATTTTAATGTTTTTTTTTCTAATACCTTTAAAGCTATATACTGACTCTATCTTTATCGGATTTCCCCCCTTTTTTTGCTGACCCACTTTCATCACAGGTTCATTAAATTTTCTCTGATCTGATCAGATCCAACCATATTTAAAACTCACTCTGTGATTATTTGACAGGGAATGAGGAAAGTGGGCTTATAAGTGGTTACCCAATATAAAGACAAGTTTAGTTATTTATTATAAAAATAATGTATTTTTAAAATGAAGCACCTGAACTAAACTTGTTCAAAAAGGAGTTAGGTTTAAAAAAAAAAAAAAAAAAGAAATTAATTTCTAAAGCTAGGGTCAGCGACCTTTACTCCCTAAGGAGGCAGTTTTGGCCTAGTTTCTGTTAAATTTAATTCCTAAAGATATCAGACATTTGGAGAAAAGATAATCCTATCAAGTTTTATAATATTCAGTGATTTTATTTTATTTTTTTGTTTCATTATGAAATTAAAAAGACCACTTTGCATCCCTTTTTTGTTTTCAAGTTCCCTTTTTGATTCAGTTTGTTAATAAAACAAATCATAACTTGAACAAATTATATTCAAAAGATCTTTCAATACAATAACAGTTAAAACGCAGCCATAGATGAGCTTAAAACGTTTCTTGCCCTCAGCAGATTTAGACTTTTTCTGAATGGAAGTAATGTTTATATTCTGAAGCATCTAAGCCAGAGTCCCAATATTAATCTGAAAGAGAATCTGGAGCAGGGCTGCAGTACATTATGATCATTGCAATGTCCGCATTATGATAAAGATTTCTATTTACCCTGGTTCTCCTCTTTCTTTTCCATTATTTCCCTACCATTCCAATAAATTTTGGAATCTTAGTCAATGAAAATGCACCTTCTCAAGAGCAATTAGAGTCCATCCAACTGCCTGAATATATTATTAGCATGTGAATAGAAGATAAATTATGATATTGAACCAACTACTAAATAATTAGTCCTTTAAGATAGTAAATTTGCAAACATTAGCAATGTTTGCAATATTAACCATGTCGTTCGCAATTTCATATGAGCAGGTCCACTGCAAGGGGAGCTAAAGATTAGGGTGATGGCTAGAAGGTCTTACCAATAAACCAATAACCCATAAATGCTGCATACCATGTGGTTTATTTTAGTTTTTAGTAGCAATATGCTTGCAGGATTCACGTTGCCCTGTGGTCCTTGGAGTCAACTATGCTTCACAACCAAGCAGGAAAACGTCCTAAAAACAGCAGGCATAGATCGGGTGAGATCCTGTTGTACCAGGGTTTACCCCTCCCAATCCTGCTGATTCTCTATCAAATATTCACAATCTCCTGCAGAGGCAACATTTAAAACCAGCCGCTGGCAGAGAGCAGGAACACGAGGATGTAAGCAGAGCCAGATGGGGGTTGGGATGGCAATTTTTAATCCACAGCAAAGAGAATGCTTGTTTCTATAACCTCTATTTTGGTGAATGCTTTTCCATTTTTGTTGCGTCACCAAACAACACTCAAAGGAGCCATATATTAAGATCTGCTTCTTACGGTTGTCTGAAAAGCAACAGAAAAGGTGAAATAATTGCAATTTCATAAAAATGTAGCAGTTCTGTGGCATGAAGGAGTAACTGAATCCTTAACTCCTAAGGGGTTAAATCATTAAATGCTGCCAACTGGAGCACATGGGCGTTCTGAGTGCTAAATGCATCTAAAAACGTTACTTCCAAGGAAAAATATGTTCATGTTTTCAACACAAATGTTAACAGGCACAAATGGAATATTTTAATATTCTGTTAACAAGGAAATCCTTAAATAGGAGGAGGAATGTTTGCTGGTGCCCCTGGTAGCCATTAGTAAAACTCAGGGAAATCTTGAATTGCAATAGTGTAATCTTAAAATTTGTATTGCAACCTTTATTTGGTTATAATAGGTTTTCTAGAAGAAAACAAACTAATGTTTTATTCCTTCTTCATTCCCTGGGGTATAACTCTGACATAACAAGAGACCCATAATAACTATGTGAAAATGCTCCCCATGCTCATTATTAGGCATGGTGGGGGGCATATAATGCTGTGGGCTTGTTCATCAGTGACCATGGAAACTGTGTTGGAGTAAATTACATCATTAACTCTGAAATACCAAGAGATTTGGCTACGTTCTTTTGGACTCACTGGTTATGGGTTCCCCTTTTGGTCCTGTTTTCCAGTATTTTACTATTCAGTATGTATTTTTCTTTTTTTTCTTCTTTTTTTTTGCTGTTTTATATTATTTCTAAGGCTGCTATATCAGGTTACCAGATTGCTTTGGTCATTATTTTACTCTGATAATATTTTGCAGGTCAGAAGTTAAAAGGTTGGGAATCTCTGATCTGGAGAGGTTGTCCAAAGAGAAATGCTCAAAGATCCCTGTCTCCTGTGCTCCAGCATTGATTCAAATAGTAAATTGCCTGTACTTATACATACTGATGGTGGCAAGCTACATTGTAGCCTTAGCTGCCTTGAGGATCACTGACCGAAGCGAGGCCACCGTACACTGGCACGACCGGGCGCTCTGACTACCATCAGTGGGCAATGCGGTCGATGTGTCTTGCCAAATGACACAACAACATTGAAAGCCAGAGCTTGGGTTTGAACCAACGACTTTTTGGTTGCACGGAAAACTCCTGCATCTGATGCAATTTTCCCATAGCATTTTTTTGTAAGAAAAAATGCTATGGGATACTAACTGCTGTTCTAGTCACGGTAGTTGTAGTAGGAGTTGCACTGAATATATTACTGCTCATGTTATTTAAGCATTTTCTCTCCACTGAATGATGGTACACATATTAAAGATACATGTATTCTGTATTTTTAAACTGTAAATTTTTTTGTGCCAGTCTAAAGAAATTCCCAGTTTTGTTTGTGATTAAGCTTTTTCTATCCAGCTCAGCTCTCCTCTGAAGGCTAAATGTGTGCCAGAGATGAAATCTGAATATGCATGAGGATGAAGAGATGGAGAAAGGAACTGGAGCAAAAAATGTGCCGCATTAAAGCCTGTGGTTTGTATTGATCGGCGAAGAAAGGATGAACCTGCACAATGAACATTCAGTAAGTAAAGTTAAAGAGGAACACTGCAAGCGATCGAAGTAGGGAGGATGATGTTTGCATATTCCTTACCTCTCCATAGTCAGATGTGACCACTAGGGTTCCATCTCCACAGGAGTTAACAGTGGCTGGGAGAAACTGTTCCTTCTCCTTGACCCAAACCCGGGCCCCCTGCATCACACAGAAACACAAATATTCAGGTTAAGCATTGAAAACATGCACAAAGTCCTTTTAGTTTATTTAAGACACAACAGGACTAAACTGGAAAGCAGCACAACCAGTGAGTGAAATTAAACTAGAAAATAGGGTGAGTTTGACGGTAAGGAAACAGATGTGATCCGTGAATTGAGTCATTAAAAGATTTTCTGGTTAAACAAAATTACAGAAAAAAATGGAGCACATGATTGATGTCTGAGTGCATTAAGGCGTAAGATTCTGTCCATATGCTGAAGGAAACATATGTGCAAAATAGGAAGTACTACAGACTACAACATCTGGCCAAGCAGCAGTATTAAACTTGGATTGGTCTTTGTGTGTGAATCAGTTAATGTTAGAGAAACAGTGAATTTCTCTGACCTGACATGAACCTTCAGCACTTACAAGGCTTTGGTTGGTCAGAAAACCATTGACTTCTGACCTGAAGCTAAAAAATGTCTGCAGCAAGAAAGAGGAGGTAAACTTTAGGGGCAGGAAACTGAGGACAAAATTCAATGAAGCGACTGGAGCTGTGCAAATAAATGGGTCTTATGCTGTTTATGCTGCTGCAGCGGCACTAAATCTTTTAATGTCCCTAACTGGTAGTTTCAGATTCAGATTCTGGGGGCTAAATAAATTGGAATCCAATTATGATGCAAAAACTAAATTATAATGATGATAGCATATTTGCATTTTTAAGCACAAGCATATAAATGAATAGCCTGATGCAAACAAAGCAAAGACAAGTTTCAATGTTAATTCAGAAACCTGGTCCTTCTCTACTGATTCAATTTGAGTTATTTCAGTCTAAAAATTCATTCTGAGTCATAAAGGTAATTACGGGATACACAGCAGAACATGTTTCCACAATTTTATGATTCTAAAAATCCAAATACCACAGGTTAAGATAAAATGTAACATTACTGTATAGGATTTAGATAAATTATTTTACACTATGAGACAAACAAGACAAGCAACCAATCACACACACTCACACCTAAGGAGAATGTAGAGAAGCCAATGAACATAACAGTTATGTTTTTGGGCTGTGGGAGTTAGCCAGAGTACCTGGAGAGAACACACGCATGCTCAGGGAGACCATGCAAAGACCATGCAGAAAGACCCCGGACCGAGCAGCCCACCCAAATATTAATTAACATTAAATTTCCAAAATTCCTGCACCATAAGGTTAAAGGAGAATCTGTTGACCTGAGTTTAATTGATGGATTAAGAAGAAGCCATTGCTGAAACATTGACACAAAAATTGTTCCATATTCCATGTAGTAAGAGTTAAATACTGTATGCAAGAACCCTAAGGACGCACATCACGATGCATCATCATGCTGATTTTTAATCCTAAAGAATAGCTGGATAAAGAGAGTCTGTAAAAAAAATTCATTATTAAGAAGAGAAAGGAAATATCCATTAAACATATCTCAGCTTTTGTCAGGATCTTGGCACTGATAACTGGCTTAATGGTTCATTCTATTCACCTGCGTAGCTCCGCCCAGTTTCTCATCACTGTTCATCTCATCCATGTGCTCCTGCCTCTATTTAAACTGATTGCTCCCAATCATCAGTGGCAGATTATTTGAGCCTTCGGTGAAAGTTCTCTAGCATACCTGTTCTTGTTCTGATTGCCTGATCCTGACCAGTGCTGCCCTCGGACCTTTGAGCCTGCCTGTTCCTGCTTCAGATTTGTTTGCCTGACATGTCTTTAGACCCCTGCTGGTTTCTGCCTGTGGACTGAACCTGGATCTCTCTCCTGGCTTTGACTTGGATTTCCCCTCGGTACCTCTTCAGATCTCTGATCTTCTGGTCTGGACACCTGTTAATCTCTTTGACACTGGCTTGGGCTTCATCTTCTGGAAACTCCTGCCTTCCTTCATCTGCTTAGATCTGTTTGTCAGCCAGTTCAGCAGTCTTTTGGCTCTGGCTCCTGGAACTCTCTGGGGAGCGTTCACCACTTGCTGTTATTAGTGAACTGGCTGGATTCCACTCCTTCTTCTGGGCACAGACTGAACTCTAAAACCAGGTTAGTGACTCACATGTTCGTAACCGCCCTCCGTCAGATTTATGTGGTCACTGACCTGAGTTTTCCCACAACAGAGATTCCGGCCTTTTACGTCGAGTTGCAGATACGACGTACATTAATAAACGCTTTTGTGATCACACTGACCTGTTTACTTCAAATTATGGGTCCTCTCAACCTTGACAGAATAATCTGGCCAAAACATGGACCCATTGGCAGATAGACAGTGGGCCTCGACGGCTATAATTTGTTGTTTGTTTTTAAAAAGACTAAAAGCCAGGAGTCAATTTCTTTTACACTTTAGCTGTGTGCACCCTATTGTGTCTGTCAATCACATACCAGATCTCACTAAAGAAGGGGTGCAACATGTAAAAACCTTGGGATACCTCTACAAGTTACTTTAGGTAGTACTAAGTGGTCATTCTCTGTGTTCTTTTGAAGTCAACTAACTTGTAAAATTGTGTCCAAGGAAATGAGTTGTGTGCTTTAAAAGATGTGAAGTTGAAATTAACTCTTATTAATCAGATGGTCCCACATGCTAACTATGCTTAGTAAACATGTGCAAGATGATTAGGGTGAGAGATTAAGGTATTCAGAAATACTGAGTCTATCTGGAGGTTTGCTTTTTGCTAAAACTTGAATTCCTCCTATTCAACCATTGCATTTAAAATCTTAACTCCTGTTTCTTGTCCTGGTTGTTCTCTCCTCTGACTCTCTCTCAATAAAATCCCAGCCCCTCGCTCTTCCAGATCCTTTTGCACGCAGTTTGTCGGCCTGCTCATTACTAATTCCATCTGATCTGTCAGATTCCTACACACTCGTCTGTTACAGTGATCTGATGATCTCCACTGGCTCTAATCTCTCCCTACCCACTTATAGCAAAGGCATAATCACACAGCACTATAAAATGTTCAAGAGTTTGAGAATAAACATGATTTTTATGCACAGAGCTGCTTTTTGCTGATTCTTGTTCAAACACATTTGAGCAGAAAAGGAAGGTTATAAATGACCTGCCGGTGTTACAATCACCACCCACCCACACACCATTATTCTCCTCCTCCTGGTGATCTCAGCCCCTCCCCCTTGTATTGCACACTCAGACAGACAGGAATGGCCATGCATATCAAGAGACTCTTTTTATTTTCTCTGCACTTATAAGTTTTACACTTACCTGAATGAGAAATAAACAAATTTAGACCGTCAGCTTTCTCCACTAAGCATTTTCTCCAGCCTCATAAAATCAGAACCCACCTGAAATGTCTAGAACATGACCCCTGACCTCCAGCTAAAACAAACTGGTCGAGTGCTCATCATCCTGCTAAAGAGATGTTGTCCAATGACGTATCTTGTTTGTGCCAGAGAGAAATGTTCATGGATGGAAAAAAGCCACTTGAAAATATGATAGTTTAATCATAATTTATTCAATGTAATACCATTCACAGCTATCTATTCTTACACCACCATGTTGTAATGTTGCAGTTAAGACTGCACCAACCTACAGTAGACCAAGACATTACTGAGACCAGGGAGTAGTGAGAAAAGATAAGGCTAAGAGATTTAGAGGTCAATCAAGACAAAACCGCGACCATATTTGTTTGTGTTTATCAAGACAGATCTCTCATGTTAAATGAGATCTTGGATCTTCTAAGATTTTTGCTTTAAAATAGACAAATGACTTCAAATCATAGAAAGCTTGTTGTTTTTTCATTTCTTAAAAAAAGTTCCTTTTAACAAAACTGATAAGTCACAAAAATGCTACTTTCAGACCGCAAGCGATAGAAGCAGAAAAGTGCCTGCTGCTTTACTTTTAAAGATTATAAACATTACGGTCCGAGTAAAGTTTGTACAGATGCGTCTGATGCTTCTGCTGCTTCTGCGTTCATTGGCAGAGAGTGGCTTTGCTATATTATATAATGGGAATCCAATACAACAAATTAATTTAAAAAGGAGCTAGAAATACACAGAAATTACATTTGTTAATGCCATGAATAACACTAGAACCAACCCCTCTGTCGACCTTTGGAGGTTAAACTATAATGTACAACAATAATATCCCCTTTGTAGAATAAAAACTCCAAGCAGTGATTATACCAAAAATAAACTAGAATAGAAGTACTAATGAACCCTGCTCAATAAATAATTGTTCATTAACCACAAAAACACAAAAGCCAGCCTTCCTCCCATAAGCTTGAACAGCTGTGTGATAAATGCCTTGTTTCTGCTCAAGTAATTACATAGATGCCCGTGCCATTTGACCGAGGTTCTGCCCCAGAAACGTCCATAGATGAAGGACCACTCTTGAAGGCTGGAGTCCTCAGCCCTGCCCCCAACATATAGATAAATCATCCCCAACCCTTGTGTATAATAACATGCACAACACAAAGTAATGCAAAGCACAGTAGAGGAGAAAATACCTGGCCCACTGGTTGTTAAATTGTAAATAAAGTTTTGGCTAACATTAGAGCTTAAACAAATAATCTGATTTAGGATAATTAATCGATTAATTGAAATTACTTTCAACTAATTTAATAAAATATGAATTATAAATTGGCCTTTCTTAAAAGAACAACCCACTAGGAGCAGCAATTAAGTCAAAAATTGTGGGGGGAAAATCCATTTTAGATTAAAATAACATGTTTGCTGGTGAATCTGTTCTGTCTTGAACTCCTCAAGTATTTCAAATTCTGCAAAAAAGAATTCTCCTATAAAGGATTGCTCCAATCATTAATCGATTTATCGAGGGACTTATGACAGGTAATTCTATTAGCAAAGTACTCGTTAGTTGTAGCCCTGATTAAAACTAATGGTGTGTTGTGGAGGATTGGAAATGGCAGAAATGAATGAGATATGACCATTTAGCAACTAATGGCAGACAATTGATTAACAGCTTAGAAGTGGAGAGGGACTAGAAATGGACTTTCAATCAATAAATCAGACTTTACTT